GGCGGGGGGGAGGGGGGGGGGGGGGGGTGGGGGGAATTGTTGAAATTTTATATCGATATAGGTAAGGCAAAGAAAAAAAATAAAAGTTTCACCCACAAGAGATTATTAGTATTACTATTACAAAAATATGAGAACCCTTTTTTTTTTTTTAAAAAAAAAAAAGAAAGAAAGAAGATCGTCTGTGATAGATCATCTGCCATTAGTTAGCAAGGGACAAATCCCGAAAATGCCCTGCCTGCAGGTTCCTTTGTCTTTGGGGCTCAATATACTTGCTCGTCCTAACTAAATTTTACTTTGTGGATAAAAAACACAGTATTCTCTCAGTTCAAAAGTAGAACCAGCTATATTTGACCTTCAAGTTTTAAAAAGAGTTGTCTCCTTTCCACGAGTTTGCTATTATTGATCCCTAAATATTCAATAACAGAAGTACCAATACTGCCCAAAAGATGGAGAGATTAAATGATTTCATGGATTCGCTGGGCCATATTCTTCATAAGCACAAGCCAGGTGAGCGAATTACACACAATTCAACTTACAATGATCATATTCCAAATTTTCATTAACTTTTTATCTAGGGGGAAATGAAAAAAGTAACTTTATTGATGGAAGATAAGGGAAGAAATGGGATTCTGATTCTCGCTCTTCCTGGACATGGGACTTCCATTAGAAGGTGATTTCTACAGAAGCCAAAGGCCATTATAAGCCTTTGCCATCAAGAAAACTTTGACCTCCCAGATGAAGGTTTTTTAATAGAGGAGTTCTTAAATTTAGTATTTTAGTGCATGAAAAAAAATATGATCCACATATTAATGAATCAAAATATCCTGAGTTCAAGCCAGCAATCACAATTCAAAAGCAAATGAAGGACAAAAAAAGGAAAAGCAGAAAAAAATTGTTGTCAAGTCTTGGGAGTTAGGCCTCTCAAAACCTTTTCTAAAAATTTACAAAATCCAAGAAATAGGGGATCCTTCATCCCCTATAATAAATAACTATTCAACAGGGAAAGTCTTCAGTATAATGGATCTATATATAATTGCAGGAAAAGTACAACCAACGTCCCAAAGTGCTACAAAAAGTTTAGAGACTCAAATGCGACAGAAAAAAAAAAAAAGAAAAAAAAAAAAAAGGGAGGGGGGGCATTACGCTAACGTGAGTAATCTGGTGTTACTTTCCCTAAATTTTCTTTAGATCAATTTTATGTCAGGTCTAGCAGAAAACTGAACTATGACAACAATTCCAGAGGCAACTTTAAGTTCTAAACCTAGAAACAAAAACTTTGCCTTGTTTTCCACCTATTTTACAGTAGTACAGAAACAATTTGTTCGGTCTCTTGCTGTTAGTCACAAATTATTTATAGACATAAGCTTTTGAAAAATATATAGAAAAATTTAAATAAAATGAACAATAATATAACAAAAATATCGCCAGTTTAGATAAACGAAAAAATAATTACTTTTCTGTGTGGTATTCGAGTTATCCTCTTCTTGAGCCTTACGGCGATAGTCTTGTTCAAACCTGTCCAGTGCATGCATTTCATGGTACAGTTCCTGCAATCTAAACATATTAGATATCCTCTTCATAAATAGCTGAAAAATATAGCAACAGTGCAAAGTACAGGTCTGTGTGTAAAACACCGTGGCAATTTCAAAACAGAGAACATAATGGATACATAAATTATGTATGGCAGTTTCTAGATATTAGGGACAAACAACAAAAGCACACAATTCCATTTAACAAAAAACTGAAACTTGACAAATAGTAAGTACCAAAGCATGAACGTTCTTGGTCTTGGATTTCTCAAACAAAAAGGAAAAAAAATAAAACTCAAATCTTTGTTCACTTAAATTTGCTCTCTTAAAGTCAATTATTGACAGCCAACTCGTGTTCTCAAATCGTTAACCTCTTCATCTTCCAACAATTTTTTCTTTTTTCAAAACTTCCTGTTGAATTGGTATTATATAGGAACCTCAATAGATGATGACCAAAATTAAAATACAGATATAAAGAAATCTCACAATATAAACCTTACCCAATAAAAAATGAAAAATGAACTTCCAATGATGTGATCACTTACAGCAGTGTACTGAACCAAAGTCATCAATTGTTGTATCACAGTTTCAGCTTCTTCTTTCAATTGTTTATGAGGTATGAATTCAAATTCCAACCTAAAATCACAATAGAGAACTAAAAATGAATGAAAAACTTATTTCATATATTAACAAGCACATAGAGTGCTAGCAGAGAAAAAAGATGTTATCTATTACTTATCAAAATAACGATCCAAGTTGTGCCACTGAGGATCTTTGCAACGATTTCCAAAGCGAATGACTTCTCCCGAAAAGACTTTCAATTCGGCCCTGAAACATTTATAAACAAAATAAGTCTCAACGCGTTTTCCTCATTAAATATACCATGCAGATGTTAAATACTAGATTTAAATGTTTCTACAGCTACACCTCTTGTCAGCTCCTGCAATTCTCTGGAGTTCATCCATGTCTTTTGATATTAAGCTTTGCACACCTTCAGAAGGGAGCACCGCCTCCTTTAAGTGTTTAATGTTCTCCTTGGAAAGGGAGTGCATCAAATTGGCACCTTTGACGATTGTATTTGCAACTTCAAATGCCAAAATCGAAATTTTAATCCCTTTTGTTGTCATCCCAGATGCAAAACCACCGCTGAGGTTCAAATTAGTCATGCTGCTACCAAGTGTATCCAACACATCCACCGCTTTCCCAATCCCAACGGTACCCGCTCTGCCCAATATAGAACTCACTTCAGACACCTAAGACAAAATATAAAATTGTGTAATTTCCATTTAGCAGTAGTAGAAATGTTATTGAAACTCATTGGGTATCAAATGTCATTCAAGAATAATGTGCATAGAGTGAATTATACACAATTTAAGATATGAAACAAATTTTAATACAACTCATCACCCTCTTAAAATAAAATTACGAATTTTTAAATTTTGTTAGCATAACCTATTCTTCGGTTGATACCTTTTTAAAATTATTTAGATATAATGTGTAACAAGTTCCATGATCCAGTACAAGCATGGATAGATTTCCTAATTGGCAAAAAAAAGGTCTAATCAAGCCAAAATCAAGTCAAGTTCGAGGAGTATAATAGATATTTTTTATAAGCATACAGAATCAAGATAAAGCCAAATTTTTTGGACCAACGAACTACTTTATATATTCGAACTTGGCTTGTTGAACTAGTAACAAATCTTGAGAAAGCTTTCGGCAGGACAATCTAGGGTTTAGCTTCAGGTAGATTTAATTTTTTCTCAGCCCAAACAAGATGATTATCATTATCAAATGATCCCACAAACAAAAATTCCTGGATAAACATAGGGGAATAGATTTTTAACTTCTGTAATTATATTTCAACAGCATCGTAGAAGGCCTTCGAAAACAAACAGTTCCTGGAGCCTTAGTACCTTATTCCTTTTCTCAATTCTCTGTGGGCTTCTTTATCCTCCTAGTAAGTCAACCTTTCCAGAAGCCGCTTAAAAAGCCATTCTCAGTACATGGTTGCCAAGGTATCAGCAACCCTATAAAGATATATTTTAAATCAAAAATTTTTATTTGAACTACTAAGGTCCACTCGTCTTAATTTCTAAGCAATTTTTCTTTAACTTTCGTCGAAATATTCAGGAAGAGGAAACAAAACTGTATTTACTGGCACTGAAAAGACAATTAAGAAACAGCACCGACAAAATAAGTATGGAACGTGAACGCCAAAATGAATTTTAAAGGAAAAAAAGAAAAGAATAAATGAATAGGAAAAGTTCAAATTCATTAAATGGTAGCACCTACAGAATAAAAACTTGGAGGACTTTATGAATATGATCAAGTCACATTCTCAGAAAGCTAATGGATAGAATAGCTTGGACGAGTGGTGTGATTAATTGTAATAGTTGATTAATTCTTCTTCGTCTAGGAGTACCTTCAATATAACCTCACCAATCAAACAAACTATTGACCCCTTCATTTTCTTCAACTGTGACTGGAACATTGAAATTATAATATATGACCATTTGTGGCTTCGCATGGTATAATACTTCTTTGATAGCTTAGGAGAAGTTGCAATCATGCCCTTTAAAAAAATCCAGCAGATCCAAAACGCATTCATCTGTTGAGGGACCAACACATGGAAAAAAGGACCCACATTTCCTTCCCTCTAGAACTATCAATTTTCTCAAAGTTGAAACACAACCTACCTGTTTAAAAGCTCCAAAGATCAAGAACAGTTCAAAATGTTTGGAAATATATTTTTCTAACCAATAGATTGAATGTCACATTGACTAAGGTAAGGTATGGAAAGGGGAGAAAGAAAAGGCATGTAATAAATCTCCTTGTATTTTGTGCTAAACAAAACTCATATTTACAGGGGCAGGAGAGCATATTTTTATCAGCAAGTTTGATGATCTAGAAATTCTTCCTATACTTTCTATCGATTTATCCCAAAATGTGAAGCATAACACTGAAGGTGTGTCAGAACAGGGAAATGCCGCTTGCAGTCCTTTTCCGTTACTCCACATTTGCTGATACTTTAAATGCATGTGAAACAACAAATTGTGGCAATGACTCAAGGCAAACTATCGGAAGCAAAGCATTAAAACAAAATCAAAGGTGAAAATACCTTTGCAATTGCCACTTGCTTTGACCCTGATGATCTAGATTTATTTGATAGAGCCCGAGACAAATGTGGGATTCCATCGTTGATATCATCAATGTTTGTGACATGAGAAATAGCACCCAACTCGGGGAATGAAAAAGGTTCCCTCAGTTGCTTATCTGTAACTTCCTCAGATGAGGCTTGCACGGAATTGCTATCTTCTCGGACATCCAACCCACGAGACCGATAAACTAATCCAGAACCATAACTGAAGTTCCCATTTATGTGTGGAAATGCACCAGCCAATGCACTATCATTGGTGGACCTTCTGGAGCAAAGTCCGCCCATTGAGTCTATGAAAATTACTCTTTTACTTCATGAGCTAATCAACTAAACAATCTTTAAATTCAAAAAGCTCACAGATTCTTTGTAAAAAAAAAAAAAAAACGCACTCTTAGTCAGTAAATCACGATACTGATAATCGAGCCTGTTCTTTACGCCAGCTTCCACCAAAATTACCAGAGTGCAATCCACAACTAATCCAGCTCAGTAAAACTGAAAAACAAGATTGAAGAGCAAAAATCACAAAAGGGAGCAATACCTTGAGAAAAAATATAAGAACTTGATAGGAAAAATTACACAGAACAAAAACAATGAAAAGAATGTCCCAGCAATAATTACAAAAGTAAGGAATTAGCAAATTAGTCAAACCAATAGCGTAAATCATTAGCATAAGGGCAACCCAAAACGACAAAGATTTAAACCCATAGTCACAATCCAATAATAACACAAATTGCACAGTGAAAGAACAATCCAGATAACAAAGCTTTGAATACACAAATCGAAGTTGAAAAACCACATTAAAGAAAATAAAAGTATTTTTATGTGCTAGTAAAATAAAAAGAAAAGGATTACTTACCCAGCACTAGAGAATAAGATGTTGACTTGGATCTAATAAATAAAATAAAATAAAAAAGATTTTTTATGTCTCTTTCATTTCAATAATAACACAAGACCAATGAAGAGAGGGAGACTAGAGAGAGAAAGTGAGATTGTCAATCATATGATGATGATGAGGACGGAAAAAGAACCATGAAGAAAACCCAGGAAGAAAAAAAAAATTGCTAGTAGATGTATGTATCTATATATCTATTGGAGTAGAAATGCGTGGGTTGGCGTGGGGTGGGGTGGGGTGGAGTGGAGTGGGGTGGACTCATTTCTAAATCCAGAGATCTCTGAAGCTAATCAAGAACAGTTTTTTCAACCTTCAAAGGGATCATTTTCCTTCACGATAAAAGTAGTAGTCTGAAGTGGCGCTGCTGACTCTGCCACACCAAACCAAGAAACAAGTTAGAGAGTAGAGAGAGAAACCACCCACTTTCTTGTCTCTCTGTATATAATAGGAAAAATTGCAATCGAGGTATCAAACCTTTCATTTATTAGTAGACTTTACCCAAACTTTTCATTTGTGCCAACCACGATACCAAACATTTCAAAAATTCACAATTGAAGTACAAATGGATGAAAACTGTTAATTTGACTGTTAGTTGAACAAAGAATTAACGTTGATCATAATTTTGACTAATTTTAAAAGGATAAATTGGTAACTTTACATTTTTCAACAAAAAAATAATTACAATATATTAATAATTAAATAAAAAATAAAGACACTATTCATCTTCTTCTCACACCCACCCACTCCAAAACCAAAACCCACCAAAATCGGCACCCACCATAGCATCCATTGCTTCCAAATTCCAATACCACTCGAATCTAAACGAGCTCTAATTTTTTAAATTGGAATAGTATCAACTATCAAGTCATATTTTCTTCTTCCGTTCGGTTAGGAATTAGCAAGTAAATTGGATGAGTTTTTTTCCTCGCCCATAAAGTTAAAGTAACCAATAATTAGCATAAGATTTACTCGGCGAGAGCCATGGCTAAAAAAGCAGTAGAAAAGGAGGAGCATAACATAGTGGTGGAGCTGGGTTCATATAAAGGGAAATTGAGAGTGTAAATACTAGTAATTATTCTGAAGATTATGTAATTGAGGAAATTACGCTTCCGTGGGGAATTCAACAGCCCCTTTTGTCCAAGAACAACGCCTTTGTCGCACAATCCTCTCTTCAAATCGGCATTGACGCATGTGGCCGATCTCTCTCATCTCTAGTCCATCTTTGGTTTGTACATTTTTTACTTGTTTATGTATTAAAATTCTGGTGATTCTTGGTCAACTGGTGGTTGCCGATTTTTTTGGGGGTGGGTGGAGAAGAAGATAAATAGTGTCTTTGTTTTTTTATTTAATTATTAATACATTGTAATTATGTTTTTTGTTGAAAAATGTAAAGTTGTCAATTTATCCTTTTAAAATTAGTCAAAATTACGGTCAATGTTAATTCTTTGGTCAACTAACAGTCAAATTAACAGTTTCCATCAATTTGTACTTCAACTGTGAATTTTTGAAAAATTTGGTATCGTGATTGGCACAAATAAAAGGTTTGGATAAAGTCTGCTAATAAACGAAAAATTTGGTACTTCAACTGCAATTTTCCCCCTATATAATATCGTATGTATACATCGGCCTGGTCAAAAAACCCTCAAGGAATGTGTAAACTCTATTCACTGTAATTATGGTAACCAAGAATCAAGAATCTACTCATAAGTTACTTATTTTTCCCGCTTTTAACTTTTTCACCATCAATTTTCTTCCTTGAAAGTGATAAGTTTGACCCCTAAACGGCTAACCGAGCTGGATCATTTTATTTTATTTTTTTTTTTTTTTGAGCTGGATATTATTGCCCCTGATTTTTGATTGATTTTGACTATTAAATTTAAACCAAATCCTTTTAATTTTAATTTTTTTATTTTTGGCCAATTGATACCAAAGCATTGAGTCAACTTTAAGGCTTAACAAAACTTTCGAATCAACTCGAGCTATTCTTCTTAAATTAAATCTCGGAACGGATATTTAAATCGAGAATCGACAGGTTTGGTTCGATTCTCGATTCTAGATTAAAAATTGAAAAATCGAATATCCCTAATTTTTTAATTAATTTATTTTAAATAAGTCAAATTATTTTATTTTTTCTAAATAAATTTGCTAACTAATTAGTTTAGTTGAAACCCAAAAATATGATTTTTCTATTTCTAATTTTCTGTACAAAGCCAATTTAATCAAATTGACCTAAGTTTTATCAAAATCTGCTATTCTACTGTAGTGTCGTTTCTACCATTCTGGAAAAATCGAAATAAAGCTCGACAAGGCTTCTCTTAATTATTCTGAGCTCGCTATCTTCCTATTCATGTGATTTTAATAATCAAATCTATGAAGAACTTAGTAAAGAGAAACACAAAAGATTCAAATTTTGGACTACGTTATTTTGTAAAAACTAAGATTGAACATATCATTAATTGAATTAATATAGTTTTGTAAATATTAAAAAATTTAATTATAATACGAAATCAAATGGAATAGAATCGAATCGAACGAGCTGAACCGAATGGAGCCGAACCCAAACGGTTCCAAAATTAAATTTGGACCTGATGATTTAACTTAGTAAATATTCGAAAATTTCGAGTCTGATTCGGTTCTCATTAAAATCGAATCGAATCGGACCATGTTCAGCTCTAGTCAACTTCCAAAATTGTAAGTAAAGATAAAATTTACAGTTTTGGGAAACTTCATAATATTCTTGAATTCATCTTGTGCATTACTACATTTGAGTGATATATATTTCGGTCTAGAAAATCTTATTCCTTGACAATAAGATTGTTCAGTATATTATCCAGAGGTAGCAAACAGAGTGCAGTTTTAATTTATAGAATTTAGTTGTCTTCTAGAAACTTTTTATTACTCTAAATACAACTCGAAAGATTAGAGAGGTGGAGATCAGGAATTAGACTTGAAGTGACGTCCTTTCTTTGAATTTCTTTTATTGTTTTTCAAAATAGCAAGTGTGTTTACAATAAAGTTGTTAGATATTTTTTATCATTTTGCATGTATCTATTTTTTGTTTTACGAATGATTTGCCGTCCCTACTAGTGTTTGAATAGGTGCATCTGTTCGTTTTTTAACAGTCACTTTCAGTAGATGTATGCAAGGATTTCAAGGGACACACATATTTAAACGGTTGCCTAAATTTCTACTCGTTTGCAAAACACATTAAAAAAATTATTCTTCATTAAAAAAATTATTCTTCCTTCTTTCTCTTGGCATTAATTAGTTATTTTCGAGTGTCTTCTTGATTTGATCAAATAGTCACAATTTGAATCAAACGTTTCCATTGTATCCTGAGAGAGATTTTCTATCATACCCCAGTTGTGATTTTGTTGGATAGAGGAGAAAAATCTCTTAAAAGATAACGTTTTTTCGTGCCTTAAAATTCATTAAATATTCAGATTTCCCTACAGTTTTCTCTACAAAAGTATAGTAGTGTACCAATTCACATTGAATTTATTAGAAAAATCAAAGGTGTGCATCATCTATAGTACATTTCTCTTGATTGCCTCTTGGGAAGTTCCATTTCAATTTTGATTGGCGGCTAGAAAATGGAGATTGGACATTAGTGGAACTTGTACTCTTAACTTCATTTTCTTGGCATTGAATCACATATCTTACTGTCACTCGAATAATATTTTCCGGTACTTCACGAACTTTTCTGTTAAATATTACTATGTTACTATTGTTTTAACTCCACAATAAATATTTCCATGTCGTGCATTCTTCCATGCTCTCAAAAGTAGTTCACGTGCATTAGAAACTAAAATACAAAATCATAACCCAAGTTTGAAACTAAATAGACAAAATCATTGCCGAGTTTATTGGAAACACAAACCATTGTTATAATATGTAAATACTTATTTGTTGCCCCCGTGGGTACTTCTTCACTGGTAAAGGAAGAGTTCTCTCAAGGCTGGCAGTTCAGAGGTCGTGGGTTCGATTCGTGGGGCTCTTAGAAGGCAATGCATATACTGGAAGGCAAGATTTATCCTGAAAGGTAGAAATGTCTTGGAAGGCAAGGCGCAACGTGGATTGGCTCACTAGGGATTTTGACAGTTCAGTTGCAGAGGCGCTCGGACCTTGGTCAGTAGGAGGCACATCCCGCGGTTTAATTGGTCTGTGTGAAGAGGGGCCGAATTACAGATCCAAGAAATAGTCGTCGAAGGCGGACACCTTGATAAAAAAAAATACTTATTTGTTACAAAAACTATAAACTTAAAAAAAAGGTTGAACCCCAACTTTGAGGGCCCCCACCGCCCCACTTCTAGAGTTTTGTGAGGAAGGTAAATCACAGGATGTGCCCCAACAGGCCAGAGAACAAGAGCTGTCTATACACTACATCTATAAGGAGTCCAATTCCATGTCTCAAGAATCAAACCCCCACACTGCGGTTGCCAACAAGGTATGAGATAACCTTACTCCTGTCCTTTACACCACTAATATATGCCCCGGGAGCACAAAAACTATAAACTGATTCTATGCTCCATTGTTTATAATATAAATATAAGTAGTAATATCTCTACTGAAAAAGAACGATCCAAATGCACAAGTTATAAATACTAGAAATCAATTCCATGCAACACAAGTAAAAGCAATAAGTACTGTTACTATTATAAAAGTAACCAAAAGAGTTTTCTCTTAGGCCAGCCTTATCATATTTAACTCAATTATGGAGCATTTGTGTGATTTCCAAGATCTGTTCGCCTTGTCATTTCCCCTACAAGTTATTTTTTACACCTTTGTTTTAACTTTGACAAACTGTTATTTTTCTATCCACGCTAAAACTACTAGGGCAACTCTCAATTTTGTAGTTCATGCCAATATTATTTCTCCAAATTCGACTGAAAGAAGACTCATTACCACGTTATTGACATGTTTGATGTATTAGGCCATATGTTACTAAACGAGATTGTGTAAGAGAATAATATTTATTAGGGTAATTAGCACAACATCTCTGCTTTTCATTTTTTGACATTTTCGCCCTTACTTCAACATTCCATTACAAAAAACGTCATTTGCACCATTTTTTAATATAAAATGACCAAATACCCTTCCATTTAAATAAAATAAAATAAAATAAATAATGAATTATAATTTTACTTCTAAATGTTTTAAAAAGTGCAAATGAGTCCAAATAATTATTAAAAGGTCTAATAACAGAAAACGCCCCCATGTTTGACCTATAGTGTGCAAAACGTCCATACGTTTCAAATTGGTGAAAATGACTTTTTTTCCGTTATGAAACGTGAAAATAGGGATGAAAACGCAAAAAATTGAAACATAAGGACATTTCTAGCAAGAAGTGTCAAACGTAGAGATTTTTTTGCTATGACCTTAAAAAAAACAAAAAAAAAAAAACTCTCTCTCTCTCTCTCTCCAAATGGGTCAGTCATCTTAGAAGTAAAAAAATACAGCAAACCACCACCCAAATAGTTGGACCACCATACCACCAAAAGCCCTCACTTCCTTCTACACATATCACCCAACATCCAACCTTAAAACCTGCATGCCAATAGATTTGTTCGGAACTGCAAGCCAAAATATCAAACTCGCAAATGCAAATACTGACGGCATCACCTGTTCCGGATAGACCTATGTTATTTCTAACACACTAATCGATTATACTCACTAGGACACCAAGGTTCAGCAATTTGGGCGATGATTGGTCGGAGATTTTTTACTTTTAATGTGGCAATTCCATTTGGGGAGAGGGAGAGAGTTTTTGTTATTTTTAATATTTTAATGAGGTCTAATAGCAAAAAAATCCCTACGTTTGACACTTCTCGCGAAAAACGTCCCCATGTTTCAATATTTTTTTTGCATTTTTATCCCTATTTCCACGTTTCATTGAGGAAAACGTTATTTTCACCAATTTGAAATGTATAGACGTTTTGCAAATTATAGGGCAAACGTAGGGACGTTTTGTACTATTATTAGACATTTTAATAATTATTTGGATTCACTTGTATTTTTTAAAACATTTAGGAGTAAGATTGTAATTTATTCTTTATTTATCTTTTCTTTTCTTTTTTAGTTTTATTTAAATGGGAGGATATTTTGGTCCTTTTATATTAAAAATGGTGAAAATGACTTTTTTGTTATGAAACGTTGAAATAATGGCAAAAATGTCAAAAAAATAAAAGGTATGGACGTTTTGCACAATAACATTGAAATATAGGAACCTTTTGTGCTAATTACCAATATTTATTATCTTATATTCTCTGATATGCAAAATTGGCAACTTCTACATATAATAAAAAAAAAAAAAAAAGGCCTTATAAGTAGTGATAGTGTGAACTATTTATATATAAAAATTGTTCAATGTTATCTCTATTCATGTATTCAAATTCAAACGTGCTTACGTGCCCAAACAAAACTGGTAAAATTACGAAAATTGCCATGAAAAAATGTATCGGCAGGTGATTTTTGAGTAATGGGTCCTACATTAATAGTAAATTCTTTGATTAATCATTGTTTCATTCTCAGATGTTTGGACAATGATAAGTAGGGCATACATTGAGAGCAATTGACATATTCATCATGGATTTTTCTTGTTGTACAGTCCTAATGCTTACAGCCCCCTCACTGAGGTGAAGGCCCGCACCAGTTTTTTATGAGTTACTCTAAGTGTACAATACACTGCCTCCTCACATAAGAAGGCTGTCACCCAAATTGTACTGGAGAATATACCTCCAGCACGGTTCTTTTTTTTATTGGCGCATGCCCCTTGATGTGAGGGGACTATAAGCCGTGCTGTGTAAGGGTGGGCATGGATTGGGTCGGGTCGATTTTTTCCCCAACCCAAACCCAACTAACATGATCGATTTTATTTAAAGTCAATTCAACCCAACCCAATTAATGGTTTAAACCCAACCCGATCAAGTTTGGGTTGGGTTGGGTTGGTCGGTTTGGGTTTCGGTCCAATTAAAGTTGGATTCGATTATATTTTTGTTAAATTTAGATAAATTTTTAAAGTTTGAAATTACTTGAAAATCTCTGTTTTTTTTTTAAATACCTATGTAAGGAATTTTTTTTGAGAAATGATGTATAGATAAGTTTAAAATTTATGAAGTATTTATTATTATTATTATTATTATTATTTTTTTTTTTACAATATTTTGGGATTTATTCATTTCATCATCATCTTCTTAATTTTTACTTTATTATGAAATAACATTTCATTTGTAAATTGTGTTCATATGAATCAATCTATATATATAAAAAAAAAATGGACGTTTATAAATTATAAGTCATTTTCATATCTTTACTATTGTGTTTATTTAGGTTTTTTTCATCTTAGATATATTTTTTTTTAATTCATCGGGTTGGCTTGGATTTTAAATCATAACTCGAAATCCAACCCAACCTCAAATATATTTTTTCAACCCAACCCAACCCAACCCAACCCAATTGAACTTAAAAAATCAACTCAAATCGATCGGGTTGGTTTGGGTTGATCGGGTTGGGTTTTGCCCAGCCCTAGTGCTGTGTGCAAAACTCAGCACACAGCACAGCTCATTCATCATTGTCCCATGAAGAAATTATGAAACTAAACCCTTGTTTGAGCTCATTTTAGAGAGAAAAAAATGTATTTTTAAATAATGTATTGATAAAAAACATGGTTAAAAAATAAGAAAAAATTTTAAATTTACATGTAACATTTTTTATTGAATAATGTATGACTGAAATAATGTCAAAATATTGTAAGAATGTATTTTTACTTTTTCAAGGGCGATAACCGTCGAAAGATTATTTTAGTTTCCCTGGCTTCAACTAAGAGTTTGAATTGGTATACTCTACTCGCCTTGACACAACAACATGCGTGCAACCTTTGACTTTCAGTTCAAGCGAAAATTGGAGAGATTATTTTTCTTTCCTTTTCACTTTCCTCTCTTCCCTTAAGCCATGGCAATAGGTAAATTAAAATGATAGACGACACTCAACCAATATTTTCAAACTTCATATTTCAGAAATACTTAGCTTAAAAAGTAAGGCCATGTTCTCTTTACCGCTTTCGGGCCGTTTTCTATTTTCGATTTTTCAAAACGATGAAAACGTGTTCTCTTTTCCGTTTTCGAAAACGAAAAAAAAATTTGTGAAGAAAACACAAAACGACTTTTTTGTCGTTTTGGGCGTTTTCAGTGTAAAACTTGAAAAAACTGAAAACGCGGGAAACACCGTTTTCAGTGTAAATTTTTTTTTTTTTTTTTATTATGTTTTAGAGGTGATCTTGTGGTGATTCTCAAAATTTAAAAAAAAAAAAAATTTCATTTTTTTTGTTTTGAGAAACTAACAAAAAGAACGCATTTTCAACAATTTCAAAACAAATACTCAAAACACAAAACTGAAATACAAAGAGAACACCTCCTAAGTAACTTATTTTGAAGGTAATCCATGTCTTGTTGTCAAAATAGTTAATTCTCCAAACATGGTTAGAACGAATGTTTACTTAAAGTTCTTTCAAAACAACCTTCGCTAAGCTTACTTCTTGTTCTTTTCTTCATATTTCAGCATTAAACATGCACTTACTTTCGAAATACGCCTGGAAAAAGTTATGCTTAGCCAAACATGCAATTAAGTTTCTTGGATTCAAACACATAATGACAATGCAAACACATCCAAAGCAGTAAAAGTTGACTACAAGTTCTCTGCTGATATTATTTACCTATTCCTCGTGCTAAAGGAAATTCATCACCTGTTGAATAACATTAATGGCCAGAGCAGTTAAGAATCATACAGCATAGAATGAAATAAGAAAAGGCCAAAGCGGTTTACAGGCGTTTTCAGTAGGGAGAATTTGATTCGTTATACTGTCGAATCGAGTCTTTTAATGTATCAAGCATACACTAGAAGTTCAAGTCAATAATTTGGTTATATATTAAAATCATACAGAAAAGAGAAACTTGAAGGTAAGCTCGGATTATTTGCTGAGCGAAGAAACTGTGGATATATCATTGAGAACTATGATAGCTGCTGTCCGATATGAGTTCTTCAAGTTCATCAACAATAGCATCATGGATGAACAAATATTGCTCCTGTAACGGTTAGCGGTACAGTCAAAGAGGTGTTAGATTTTGATAATAATCCAATTTTATTGGAAATCATAAAACTTTTGGGTCTACATACTAGATGTCGTAATGGTATAAAATCTTTATTACATTGCATTTTATGGTTTTACAAGATAAAAGGAAAATCTGCAGTTCCTGTTATTTAAACAGTAAAAGATGAAGCCCTCTATTTATCTTCACTAAATCGCAAGTATGGTGAAGCATCAAATAGGCAAGGAAACGTACCAATGTCTGAACCATTCCAATTCGTTGCGACCTAAAAGAGGTTATAGTATTAACAAGATCCAAAGCTGACATATCTCCCAAAAGAACTCTTTGAATGGTATCGTGGATTGCACAATATGTTCCAGTTCTACCTATACCTGCGCTGTTAAAGATGATACAATTTCAGGCTCAATTTGATTATTTCTATGTCACTACTACTTCTGTGACATCGAAAGGCAAACCTGCAATGAACAACAATTGGTCCAAGGCTGGGTGGCACACCATATAACCTTTTCAAAATTTCACGAACAGCAACAGTGTCCTTCGGAACTCCATGGTCAGGCCATTCTGGATACTGAATGTGAAGAACAGACAAAGATGGGTCCTCGGACTGCAGAAAAATGGGGACGACTTAAGTTTTGTCATAACTAATCACAAAGATTAAACAAATTGCTGATAGAAAAAAAAAATGTCTGTCATACACTAGATAGAGCATGTCTAATAAATCAATGTCTTGATATGAAAAGTTCACACCTACAATTCAGTTATTATGGAAAGATAGAAAATGGACGAAGAGAATGAATAGAAAAGAACTACAATGTAGCAAGAAAAAGTTGTTGAAGAAAACAAAAGAGAAAAGGAAATTTCTTAGTTCCCAGTAGTATATAACAATATGTTGCCAAGCATATGCATGAGAAGACAACATAGAGGTTCATCAGATTGATTAGTTTTAGGATAAACAAAATTAGAAGTCCTTCAAATATGTGCTTAAATGCAGGGAACTCACACATTTTGGTTAACTACTTATTGGAAAATTCGGTGTTTGTACTCAAAATAATGCAGTCTTTTAGTTCATAAATCAGTTGAGTTCAATTATTTTGGAAATTAAAGATAGTATGGTCTTTTCATCTACAATGGAAAGCTGGCATACACTGTTCATGGATCATAATTTTATTTTGATTATGTTCTTTACGTCTGCAAAGAAAGGTACTAAATTTTAGTTTTCTACAAGTCTTGGTCCAATTGCTTGAAACCATGGAAATCTCAACCTTTTGAGTTTTTGATTAGTCAAAATATTCGAATAAAGAAGATGATATACTTTCTAATCAATGGTCCACTCTTTTTCTATAAGAGAGAATACAATGACACAATAAACTGAAGAAGGTTCTTTAGAAACTTTTATATTTGTAGACCGCAGTACCACACCACTTGCATGATAATCGCCTCACCTCTTTGTAATTCACTTCCAAACATCGCAACACTAATGAAGTATCTGTTGTTTGTATCCATTTTGTCACTATGCAGATATTGCCGAACTCTCTTGGTCCATCCTCAGCTTGGAAATAATCTCCACACTTCACTGTCTGCATATTGTTCAGTTATAAGTATGAATATCATAAGAAAATTCGGAAAAAAAAGAAAATCATAGAAAATTAACAGAGATACATTCCTAACATGAATGGAAAAAAATGGTTTACTTTCTCTCTACATGACTAGCTACAGAGGAAGCTACCAAGAAGACAATTGATCTCAAAAGGATAGATCAGTATTACTGCGATCTTATGACTATGAATATCAAAATTGCTTACCTTGTAATTGTCGACCAACCTGGTAAGCATCACAACAACAGGACAGCGATACTGTATGATCATTTCCCAGAAGTCCTCAAAAGTGTGAGGCAGTGGACCTTGAGTTGCAATAAACCGAGAAACACTTTCTGAAGTCTGCAATCAAAACAATCAGTTTAGAAATAGTAAAAAATTGATATAAATATAATCAAACTTTTTTCTGTACGAGTATGTTTTAAATTGAAATGTTCAAATCAAATAAAGTATTCAGAAAACCACCTTGACAAAGCTTGCATTTATATAACCCCTAGCTGATGGTCTGTAATCTTTACACTGCTTCAAAATTACCCTGTTATTATCATCTGAGAACAATGAAATTCAAAAGATTATTTTAGAATGATAAACATAGAACTTAAAGATATTTAATAAATATAAGCCCTTGTTTGGTGGAGATTTAAATCAGATCTTTTTTTAGTAGATTTTGATAAAAATTAATGAAATGTGTAGTTGAAAAGTTGTGGATCCCATGAACTATGTGGTTAAAATTAACTCTTGACCTTGATTTTAATTAAAATCTAGATTTAAATTCGTACCAAACAGGGCAAAATATGTTGTTGGATTGGCATACATGGTATGACATCAGTGTAACGGTTCTTGCTATCATTTACACTGTTGAGAGCTACAGTACATTTATTCCTCATGTCCAAAGCTTTCGTCCTATTTGCCTATAAAAAATAAAAATAAGTAAATGTTCTACATAGCTTAGAATGAAGTGAAGGACTTCTATTTAGCAACATCATAAATATTATTGGTCATGTCAACTTACCTTCATAGGGAGAACATGTGCAAAAAGACCAGAGCTCTATTTCATTACAAATGCAACACAGATGCAGAACACTAATAATTTCTTGCAATATTAAAGGAAATTCTGCTTGATTTTCCCAAATAACGACATAACAATGGTTAGCTTCTGGGCAACTTAAATTGTAAAATGAAATACATCATTTAGTAACAAGAATGGATTGCGGAGGAACACAGTAAATCTGCACAACTTGCAGATACCCAAGGCCAAAAATCTTAGGTGCATATAACATTTATGCACACAGCAAACATATCGCATATCAGTCCCATATATCATGCTCTAGGCCATTATCACCAATAACTACCCAGTGTCCATAAACATGCTAAATGCATCTATGAGATAATACTAATTTTCCTCTTCTTACAGATTAATCAGACACACTAATCCGGCCATGTTTTCCACAACTGGTTCCAAGCCCGACTGAAGGAGGAGGGTTGCAAATAGTTAATAAACAATTTAAAAATTTGTCAAATATGTTGTTTGACTTCATCATTCCATGAATCTGGAAGAAATAATCTGCCGCTCCAAAATTCAACAGGATTAACTAGATATGGACATGCCTTCAATATCCATCAAGTCAAAACAAAAGATGAGCTTGGCATAATCTACTAATATTAGAGAATAATTAAAGTGGAAGCTGTACTGTTAGCTTTTTATTAGAGTTAACAAGCTTCTGCATTTCGGATCTATCATGGCAGCCTCCGTAACCGAATGAACATAGAACCTAATTTCAAGGGGCAGTATTTGAATATTTCACTTTGTATTGGAGAAATCCACCAAAGCTACCAAAATGAACTCTACTGAACTACTCCAGCTCTGGTTTGTGCTCTGTTATTTCCTAAAACTACTTTTTGAAATATCAAATTTCTTAGATGGTAAGGCCACGAGCACATATTTCCCCAAAACTTCAAATCTCTTATAATTTGGTTCATTTTCCAAGTAAAAATGATTCCTTTCTTATTGAGAGGCCATAAAACACAAGAAATTCAGGAAAAAAAGGGATTCTTCCTCATTTCTGTAAAGCCATGAGCAAAATTTCAGCAGCACTTCAACTCTCTCATAATTTGGTTCGCTTTTCAACAGGGGAAAAAACATATTTCTTAATTGCTTGGCCATAAAACATAAGAAACCCGAAAACATGGAAAGAAATGAACAAATTACTCGCCAACTTAAAAACTATCCAATCCCCAGTTTTTCTCATCATTTTCCTTATACCTAAAAATACTCATTAAAGTTCGAAAACTAAACTTCAGTACTTATAGATAATTATTCTCTACATCCTTTTGCTTCTAACTCAACAAACTTACTACCTCGATCAGATTTTTCAATGACAGATATGTGCGTGTATGGTAATTCATATACCTGCAAGGTTAGGAACTCCTGGCGGATGGTTTGGGGAGTCTCAAACTTTTTCGCTTTAAAGAATTTGAGAGCTTCAGAGCAGTTGCGGAGCTGATCGGCTGTGAGGGTAAGTCTCGGAGGCTTCGAATCAGCAGAGAAATCGAAAGTGGCGAACCGAGACGATGAAATGGAGGTGGAGATAGGTTTTCCGGTGGCAGCCATTGCCGATCTGCGGCCGCGCAAACGATTCGAGGCGACGTTACCCGTGGCTCCCGATATCGCGAACTTCTCTCTGTTTTTTTTCTGTCACTTCTGTTTTCTTATTAGGTTCTGCCTTGTGTTTACTAAACAGTGATGATTGGGGGAGTCCTCATAAATAAACATTATTCTCAAAACAGAAAGTATTTTGCCAAAAGAAAATTAAAAAAGAAAAAAGAAAAAAGAAAAAAGAAAAAAAGAAAAAAAAAAGAAAGAGAGATGAGAAAAAAAGTATTTAGTAGCTTAGGTGACAATTTCGATTTTATAATTTACACCCCTAACTACGTTCCTTCGATGATAATAAATCAATTATAGTCATCTTAACGGATTATTTCCGACCATTGATATTTAAAGATTATTCATTCTCTAACTACAAACACGATGCAAAATATGTTGGAAGTAAAAGTTCATTGATTAACATGAAACAGTGAACCTTCGAGATAAATCAATAATATTATTAGTTGATCAACGTAATAAAGTGAACGATACAATTTATGTGAAAATCTTGGGATTAATGTGGAATTAGGTGGAAGTTTTTGACCAATTAGGTGTCTACTTAGCTTTTTGGCTGACAATTATTGTAAACAATAATGATAGTAATGATAGTTCAAGGATAGTTGGAGTTGAAGCAAAATCTAGATTTAAATAAAATTACTTGTCTTGGAATCCCACTTCATATACAAATGAAACATGACATCTTTGCTTCATGTATAAGCCTTTTCCTAATAATGCTATGTCAATGTCTAACAACAGCTCCCTTTTCCTAAGGACTCCATCAGTAAACTCATATGAGTTCCTCGTGTCTCTGCAAAGACATTACAGCAATGTAAAAATTAGACTTGAAAATAAAAGATCATTCATGAGGCTCCCTATCCTTGCATAGTTTGCGGACTTCCCACTTAGAGGCATTTGGGAGTGATTTTTCCCCCCAAAAAAATTGATTTTTTGAACGTTATTTTACTATTTCAGCCATCATATTTGACTTCTTTTTTCACAAGTGGACCCTACTTTTCTCTTAATGATCAAAAAATCAATTCTCAAAATCACTTCCAAACAGGCTCTTAGCACTTATCTTTTCTTTCTCAGCATCTTTGTCATCATTTATCTCTTCCATATCAGGAGATAGCTCTTTTACCTGAGCATGTAACTCAACCATTTGCAGTTTTGCTAGAAAACAAGTGATAGTCCTCCCATGACAGCAATATATCATCATCCTTACTGAACTGTCTCATTTTCCGGTTATGCGAAGTATGATGGCATATTATTTGGTCCATGATTTCCTGTCTTTTTATTGGGTAAATAAATGACAGCATTTATGATGTCGAAATACAGTAAGTATAAAAAAAAATAATATGTATTTGCTAACTGTTTGCACTTGACATCTAACAGATACTGGCATACTGCCCTAACCAAGTCCAGGTCGTGCGCAAGATTGTTCTATGTTGCACCGAGTTTGTTGTTAGTACTATGTATAAGATTTTAACTTGAAGTTGCCTAGGATGTCCTGAAGGAAGAACTAAGAAGGAGGCGGCACTGAAGCACCAAAAGTCAAGAAGGTGCTAATATTACTAGCATGTTTTGTGTGTACATTACTTATCAAATTTAATCTAAAGACCCTACTAATTTAAGATTTGAAGGGCCTTCAGTATGATATTTGAAATGAGTTTTTATCTAGTTTGTAGGATCAGAATCACAAAATAGATTAGAACATATTTGAAGAGCAGAAGTAAATTGTTATAGAGGGAAATGCGATAATAATAATAATAATTGATTTTAATTTATTTAATCAAGAAATCCAAATTTTACACTTCTTCAAATTTTCACAAACTACAGATCAATGAACACCTGCTGAATCGAATGTGCACAGTAGTCTCTGAGTGAAATTGAAAGGGAAATAGTTTACCAGTCATGGACATGATTACCAAGAAAAAAATATAAAGATTCATTTATCAACCAGAGTGGCGATGGGACCGACAAGCTGGAACTAATCCATAAAACGGTCCAGTTATAACCTAAAAATGTGCATCAAAAGATCGAGGCGTGAAGAGCTCTTTTATGTCATTCACTCCGGAAAGTAGGGGGAAATAGCCGAAATAACTCCTTTTCCACATTGAAGCAGCAAAAAAAGCTTTGTAGATCTTGTCTCACCTGATGAAGATTTCCTCTGAAAACTAGACCAACAGAACGGCTCTTGTTCGCAAATGTAAATCCCCAAATGCCTCTCCATGAACCTGTTCCTAGTTATTCTTAAGCACGACACTCAGCACTTTGGAATGCTTGAGCATGCCCCAGAAGAACTACATTTAATGTTAAGTTGATCCTTGACTTGGTTCTCACAGAAAGTGTTGCAAGAGACATTCTGAAGTTAGCAGGAAAATGAGCAGTTTATATCCTTTCCTAGTCATTTCTCAAGAAACAGTTTGCTCTTGCGATATTGATTTGTATTATTAAATTGTGAACCTTCAAGAAATAATTAAACAGAATCCTGAAAAATTAGCAGCTTCAGTTAACATTGGAAAGTTAGAGGAGAGACTTACTGAAGTCATACGACTTGTTTTCGTAACGGAGGTCCTAGAACTTTCTTACTTTCTCGAGTACAAAATCTTTTAGGGAAAGAAAGCTCGAGACGTGAAGCATTGACCGAATAAAGTAATAAGTAGGATCAACAAGGTCAAGCTTTCAAACAGATTTTCCCTGATTACTGTAGGAAATCAAGTACTTTCCTTCTAACAATATATCAGCATCTTTAAAAATGTTAAATGCACGAACATGCTTCAGAATCTGACAATTTCATGATGACAAATTCTTTGGGCCATGATTTCTTAACACCATACTCCTTCATCACCCAGATGACAATGTCACATTCTGAAGTATTGTCACTTAAACATAGACAACCAGAGATAACTCCAAGGTCACAAGAATTTTTTTTTAGTGCTTGTTTCTGCCCCATTATTTGTGAGTAATGTATTATGGAATACTGATTGATGTTAAAATGTGTTGTTAAAAAAGAAGGGAAAGTTTTTTATTTACGTGTAATAGTATTTTAATGAAGAATGTGTGATTAAATATGAGTACTTTAGAAAAAATAATGTGGTAGAATATAAAAGAATGGTAGACAAATAAGGAAAATGTCACCTGTTCATCCAGGGAGCTGAAATGGTGCCCCCCTATTGGAGGGGGGGGGGCGGGGCTCCAGTAGGGGGGGAGCCAATTAGGCTCCCTATTTGAACAGGACCTACGTGCCCCTCTCTAAACAGAATTATCTGACAAACAAAGCTTTATTTTGTTCACCATGTGTGGAATGACTGAAATTACTCCTTGAGATGAAAACAAGAAATCAACTTGGAGCCCTCTAAATCTTTTATCATCCAACGAAGACTTCCATTGAAAAATGTACCAACATAACCAAAATTGCTGAAGCAAACCAAGCCATTAACGGAACCTACTAGCGTTGGAGGACCCAAAACCTGTCGTGCAATACTGAGGACTCAAATTTGATTACTGGATTGTAGTATATAATATATATCATGATGATCAATCTCATCTTTGAATTCGAAAAGTCTGCAAAATTCTCTGCGTCCACGCAAATCATAACGGAAGGAAACAAGGCGCAGAGTTGATCTGGAAAGATGCAACTTTGCAAACTCAGGAGTTGAGAGTAAGCAGCGAGATTTCTTACAAACAATCTTGCAGTTCATAACAGTTACTGCTGGAAGTCTCGAGAAAATTTCAACAATAATCCCTGAAGGTAGATTCATCAAGAATCTCTTGTCCCTCATTTCTGATTGAACTTTCTTTGATAATTTGCCATCAGCCATATTGCTTACCCGGGTATCTTCTGCAATATGTATATAGATTCTGTTGATGGAATTTATGATTCTTGGTTAGCTCAAAGGTAGCAGGCTCATTAGACTTTTTATTTTCTTGCACTTGTAGAGCAAGACATTTTCTTGAATCGCACTAAAACTAAAAATTGAAAGAAAGAAAGAAATGATAGAAGTAGCCGAAAGAATAATAAATGTGGACTATTACGGGCCCAAATTACCTTAAAAATTGAAAGATTGAAAACCTTTGTGTCCATTCAAAGTCAGTGAAAAATCGGTCTTCTTTTAGATATTAGAAACTTTTGCTTTAGCTCATGGTAATTGATTCTGTACGAGAAGCATTTTAGAAGACAACTTGACTAAAATACTGCAAGTTGCTTACTCATTTTTGTTCTTTTCTCTCTTCCACTACTGTCCAATCTCAATGCCAAACATGATACTAGCGTAATGAACTTGGTAAAGTTCCCTAATTTTTCAGAGATAACGGAGCACCTATCCTCACCTGTGGCCGTGAGTTGGGTTTTGTTTTAGGCAAAATCTCCGGCAAAATCCCCCGCTGTAAAGGAATTTGATACATCCATTTTTCACTTACAATAAAAATCCTTGCGAGCATCATATAATTCATACGAAAGATATAGAGATGATACTATGGTCATAATAACATTAAAATGTGCTCAATTTTCAGAAGAAAACCCACATTTTAGCAAAATTCTTGTTCTCAATCAAAGAAAAAATTGTTCTCTTCTTGTCAGGATTGATTCATCTTAAAATCTCAATGAAAATCGGAGTACAGGTGCATGTGTACCTCCAAAGTTAGTTATAGGAACCAATCGAGAGAGAAATAATAACCTCATGAGAAAGAGGAAGTAGAATTATGTAGAAAAGAAAGTATTGTGGATTAATTATTCAATCAAACTAGGTGATTGAACTCATAGAAGCATTGACTGAATATAGGAGTTAGGAATTGTGTCAGCCATTTTCACAGTTTTGCTTTGATTATTATTGTATGAAAACAAGTAGTTGGCAGCAATGCAACATTAAATCACCAATCTCTGAAAAAATTTCAAGCAAGAATTTTCAAATTTCTCAGCCATACAGAATCTGGCATTTGCGGATGACAAATTCTTTTGTCCACGATTTCTTCAGCACATATATTCCTTCATAACCCATATGAAGTTCAACCAGTTCCTCGGCCGAGTTTTAAAATATTGACAAAAAAGATCAAAATACCTGAAAACAGAAAATGGGACAGGTCCAAAACCAAGCATTTCCCGTTTTCATAAGATTATTGACAAAACATTGGACAGTGTAAGAATTCAGAACACCCTTACATTCTCTGTAAAATTCTTGAGTGAAAATAAACTTGGGACATGAAGCATGGTCTGAATGGAATTATTTGGAACAACTTCAACTTGTTGCAAAGTTTTGCTCTGATTCCTGTAGAAAAACAAATAGTAGTCGTCCCATGACATCAATATATCCCCATTTTCAAAAACTTTTAAAGCATGAACCATTTCATATGAAGTCCCCGCAAAATCTGGCATCTTGCTAATGACAAATTCTTTGATCCATGATTTCTTCACTCCATATTCCTTCATAACCCATATCACAATTTCAGAATCTGAAGTATTGTCGCACAAGCATAGACAATCTGCGACAACTCCAAGGCTGTGAAGAGCTCGTTTATGTCGTTCACCGGGGAAGGGAAAGGGGAATGGCTGAAACGACTCTTTTTCGACGTCGAAACAAGAAATTAACTCGGAGCCCTCTAAATCTTCTATCACCCAATGAAGATTTCCGTTGAAAAATAGACCAACAGAACGACAATTATATGCAAATAGGACACCCTCAATGCTTCTCCATGAACCTGTTCCAAGGGTGTAAACATGACACTCGTACTTTGGAATACTTAAGATTGTCCCTGTTGTGGGATCAAGGACACACTCGTGGAAGATTCTTACAACCTTGTATTGGCCACTTATTATGCTCAATCCGAACCCATAAGTGACTTCGCTGGGAAATTCAAAGAGCCAGTCTAGCACCGGAAGGGCGACATACTCCCGTGTAATGGGGTTGCATACATATAGAGCATCATATTTACGATAAAAATTGCGCAAGCAAACCAAACCATTGATGGATCCTACCTGCACTGTCGCACCACTGCTGATGCCAAGCGATGCTGACAGCTCGAATTTGATCTCTGGATCATAGTGAAGATCGTGATGGTCAAGAGCGTTATCATTAAATTCAAAAAGTCGACAAAATTCAGCTCCACCTGACTCATGTATGAAGACAACAAGACCAGGAGTCGATCTAAAAAGATGCAAATTAGCAAACTCAGGTGTTGAGATTAGGCATAGCCATTTCTTGCAAACAAGCTTGCAGGTTAAGATACTTTGGGCTGGTAGTCTTGAGAGAATGTCTAAAATAATATGAAAAGGTAAATTCATCAAGAATCCCTCATCACTCATTTTTGCTGTTTCCTTCTATTGGCCCTCTAAAAAACTTACCTGGTCTGAGATTTTGCTTCTGCCAGCGGCTCTATATGTAGATGCAATCAACAGTCTCAATTTTTTATTGAATATTATTCTTGACTAGGTCAAATTTGACGTGCTGAGACTTTTCTTAGGCCCAGTTTGAGATTGATTTTTTACTTTCAAAAAATTAATTTTTTGACTATTATTTCACTATTTCAACATAACTCTTGACTTTTTCTCTCATAGGTAGCTCCCTCTTTTTTTTCCTAACGGTCAAAAAATCAACTCTTAGTATGGCTCCATTTGAGACACATTAATGTAAAAATGAAAATGAAAAATATAACCGTTACAGCCCCACAAAAGAGATAAAAAGTCAAATATAATGGTTTGATGTGATGGATAACGGTCATATTTTTCATTTTAAAGAGGAAATAATGAGAACAAACAAGGGCTAGCCATTTTGAGTTCCTTGCCATTTTGCTTAGGATTTGTTTGCCTACCATTCTATCACATTATTTATTTACAGTACTCATTTTCAACCATATATTTTTCATTAAAATAATATTACAGGTTAATCAAAAAAATTTCCTTCTTTTTGAACAATATATTTCAATATCAATTACTATTCCATAATACATTATTCACAAATAATGGGGCACAAACAAGCGCTTAATCCAGTACTAGTTAGATTTTAGCTTCTTGTCTTGTGCAGTATTGTTTAGTAATTACGTATCAAACGTACCGGACTGTTTTAGATGGAGACATTTTATTGTTATAGGTATTTGTTAGGGAATTCGTACCCCAACACCGAAAGCACATCGAGCACAACACAATATTAAAGTGCAAGAAAATAAAAGAACACAAGAATGGTCACCCAGTTTGGCCTAATCTGGGGGGCTCAGGTCAGCCCATTCCACTAGTGCAAAAAACCACCTCCCAGAGCGAGTTCAATACAACCAAACACTTCACCTTACCCGATTGATCATCGATCTACAAGATCTCACAAAGAATCTGGGCTTTCTACACAACATATTAATCTGACCGAAAAATATATTCCTACAGCATACAACCACACAACCGGAATAACCTATGGTTACTGTAGCTTACAAAATCAACAAGATTTTATCATCAAAAATACACTTCTATCACAGAAGGAATTTTGATTAGAAGAAGAAACCAAGATGAAGATTTCTTGAAGTTTTAGAGAGAGAGAAAATGTGACTGAAACAAAACTCCAAAATGCAGCCAGTGAAGTGACCCGTTTTCAACCAAAAACGTGACTTGAAGAGTCACTTTTAATTCAAAGTAAGATCTCAACCATTGGTTTAATCCAATGGCCCTTATAGTTTCCAAATAAACACAGATCCGGGTCACGTCCAATGCTCCAATCAGTAGCTGCCATTTGAAGTCTTAACAAATTTCCGAAAATACCCTCAATTTAAAACACAACTTTAAAAACACGTTTTTCTCCTTTCAATCTTCACCTTGTTTCTCAAGTTGTACACTCCCTCTCAGTTGCGGAATTTTGCACTTATAGTGGAAAGGCTGAACAACATCATTGCCTTAGATACCTGCAAAGAAAAATTACCCAGTATCAATGTTGAGAAGTGACAAACACATTCTAAACTTATTCACAGGCAGAATTTTTGTGCCCATATCAGATGGGTTAATGTCAGTATGAATTTTCTCTAACATCATTTCACCTAAAGATAGTTTCTCTCTTATGAAATGATA